CTCTAATTAGCATTTTGCTTTAAAAACATTATCTGAGTCAATTCTTTGCTGTCTTTTGCTTTCGTTACCTTCTGACGGCTGAGAGCAGAGAACTCATTTCATTTGTATTTCGAATGGCAAGTATACTCTAGTCACGTGACATTTCAAGGCTGAATATTCCCAAGTGCATGCACTGAATAAATAACGAGCACTATCAACAAACCGGTATTATTGACCTAAACCTGCCGTATAGAATAAGGAATTCGATAGAGAAGTTCTGATGGAATAAGATTAGCTGCTATTTTTTGTTAATGCTAGACGTTAATATTTACCTTTTAACTAACTGCTTTTATCTTGCGATATCTCTATGATCATAGCTGCAGTTAGAATAAAACTAAATTTACTTGCAAAAGTTCTCCACCCGTTCTTCATGCATTTTCATGACTTAGGATGTTACGTACCGTTACCTAACCTTACAAAGCATTTATTATCCGTTCAGTCCTACATCTTTATTTTTATATCTTCCGCGTAAACTGACAAATAAATAGCCAGCTGTCGTATTGTTACCATCAGATATTAGATAGCATTTTTATGCTTCAAATTTTCAAAAAGTATTGCTTTAAAAAATTTAGAAAAAATGGTCTTCAAGTCTTCCATCTTTATGTGATTATCTAGTAAATAAATCAAATTTCAAAGCATTTCAGGATTTGGAAATACATTAAAGAAGTAACTTGTGAAATCTAAACAATTTATCTTTTACTTATAAATGATTTAGATATTTAATTTATCTTAACTTATTTGACTCTTAAGCCAAGGATATACTTTATTTGCTTTAATGGATGCATGGAATAAAACGTAGAATAAATTTATTCATACACATTTTAATATATAGTGGCTGGTCTGAAGGCACATGGAAGTCTTTTATCAAACGAGTATTAAACCTGTAACTGCCTATCTGCTTGTGTTGTACCCCAGTCCATCCATGAATCATAACTAATACCACTTTACGTCCTCCAGACAGTCAATACCAACCTCTTTGGAAACTTCATGTACATTGTAAACAATGCGTTTTTCAGAGTTTTAAACGAATTATGGAATGTTTTTGAATTTCTAAGCAGCCTAAGTATAAATTTTAATTAGCTGTTTAAGAATAATCGTAATTAAAATACTTCTGAATTTCGCAGGAAAATAAAGAACCAAGTCAGTAACATCAACTAATAATGACGAGTAATTCTGCAAAATCTGCACTTTTTATCATTGTATTCTTACAGATAAAGCCTTAATTAACAAACTCTCCCTGCAAAAGAAGATTTATTTACCAGAAGATTAATTTATCTACTAGTTTTTCCCCAAGACAGCGTGTTCGAAAGAATGCACAAATTGCCCAAGGGCAACACAGGCAAATGTACAAAATATCCTGACCGCTGTGTCATTTTAATCATGCAGCGATGCCTTCTTTTTTATTTTAATTTGCATGTTCCTAGGGTAGGCATGTTAAACTTGCGGTACTTGGCTCATTTTTATACTGCTGCCTCTTCTGTCTGAGAAAATAAAAAAATGTGAAATTATATCTTGTAAGGTTTATCCTAAGTTCTTACCCTTTAGTTAAAATTACTTTCCTATCCCTTCTAATTTCAGCTTACAAATTTCCGGCCAGAGTGTGTTGTTAGAATCGCGGTTAAATGCAAATGAAGGAAGAGCAGTATTTAAAGTTAAAGAGAAGTCAACTGACTTAGTTAAAGAGCTAGAGATTCTGACCAGCTCGCGTTCGCCTTTTGAATACACTCTCTCTAAGCTATTTCTACGCTCGGCCGTATTTCAGGCCCTTGATAGATTCGCCGTTTAGTTAGCGTTTAACCGTTTGCGGCACAGTGTGTCCGGTCTGGACATACCTAAAAATTTCCTTCTATACGCACAGAAAAGTTGAATGAACAAGGATTTATAGGTTACTGTAGGTTTCTCTGAACCTTCTTTATTTATAGTAGATGGCAGCTCAGCACAAACCAGTCCATATATTTTATCCATGTTTAGTTTATTAAGACCCTCATTTTTCAAAGGAAGTTTCAAGATTTTGTTTAGGGTATAAAAGGAATTGTTTGAAAAGAAATTTCTATGTTATTTTTTGGCTGTATGTTAATCTCCTTATTCTATATTAGTTTTAATTTTTTACCTTGAAATCTTGCCTAAAATCAAATGGTGAACCCTAGGTGCGCCCAGACCGGGCTCACCGATCATCTAGGACAACTGAGAATCTGTATTCTTTGTTTCTCCGCATCTCATCGGTCAGTTCATTGACAACAATGGTCGTTTCAGCACTCTTTTCGAAGCTCTATTCAATCAGTGTGCCACTTTGAGCACACGCACAGAATTAAAAAATTAACTGCTATCTTGATAAAATTTTGCTTGTGTACTCCTCTAGGCCTAATTAGACTGCCTTTTTTTTTTTAATCGAAACGCCGACTTTAAAAGGTAGCGTGCCGGAAATGGTTAAGGGGCCAATTCCTGTAGAAATTTGATAGCTTCGGTTGTTTCCTTTTAGCTAAGTTTTATTTCTTTGTATATCTTGAGTTCAAGCCCAAGTGGAGGCTTTTATATACGTCCTGAGAAAGGGCCAACTGTGAACTTATGCAATAAAGGTTAATCAACCCTTCTCAGGTTCACGTTTCCGTCTACTGAACTAAAGCGATTATTCGCTTACCAGTTCTCAACGTTCCACGCATTTGGCTGTAAATTCTAGGTTGGTATATTACAATCTTGTTAATAAAAACTAGAACTACACTGAATATCGAGACGTATCACACTTAGGGAAAAGAGGACACTTGAGACGATATTTTTATAAGCATACTTTTTTAACCAAGCATGAAAAACTGGCAACCTAACTAAAGATGGCGTCAACGAAATTTCATTGCTACTGAACTCTATTGAAGCAAAAATTCTGTGAAGTGTATTGTTACGAATACTTTCCTGCAGGGCTGCTAAACAGCCGCAAATTTTGCATCCTACGTGATTTCTCTGTTTAGTAATACGTGTCAGAATGAATAGCTTTTCTCGTGAAAAGAAATAGTCTCCAACATAATCCAGGTTAACAGACAGTTCTCTGACCTCTGTTCTGAAAACGGCTAGTGCAAGCAGCTCGTCTCTAAACATTTAAAAGGTTACTGTGTGTGGGGGGGAATACAAGGTTTCGGAAAAGAAACAGCAGGTATTCATTTGCTGTGTGGATTTTTTTTATGTTCTTTCTGTTCATTTTGAAAGAACTGCAATATCATGTAAAGTGTTTTGTATTTGCTCATTTTTACATTCATTACTACGTCATAAAATATGAGCAAACTGGTGTTTTGTTTGTTATTGCCCGCACTTTTATATACTGATAACTATTCATCTCACTTGAGATACTGCCTTTGACATGCTTGTTCTAGAAAAACGTTGTTATTCCCAAAAGAAGGACGGATAGGACCCGGCAATCTAAATTTTAACTCAGTATTAGTTAAATTGAAAATTTAATATGGACAGAAATGTTCAGCATCAAGGTATTTAATCATCAGTTTTTAGGATAACAGACACTTTGTAAGGAAAAGGCATTATATCCTCTTCCAGAAAGCCCAGACCAAACCGCGCACGAATTTTACCTGTGCGTTTTCGCTGAAAAGTCCTGCTTTTGCACTGAAGAAGGACATGCGTGGTAGATTTTGTTTCAGTCATTTACTGAAGATCGTAACTATTTGAAAGAAAGAACTCATTTGCCTGACGTCATATTGATCCTACCAGCATAGAACACTTGTTGGTGGCTTGTTAGCTTTGATTGAATCGCTATGTAGTAAACAGAAAGGGATTATATTGCGTCATATAAAAAGTCTTCGAACTTCTTTGCCACTAAATGGTATCGATGCCTATATATCCGGCAACAGAAACTCACCCGATTGTCTCAAACAAGCATGTGCTTAAAATGTGACATTCAGGTTCCATTTTTTGTGAAGATAGTTTTCTAATTCGTTGTTCCTGTAGAAAGTTATACTGATTTGAAAATGAGTAAAATATCTGAAGAAATACGCTATTTGATGCTTTTTTACTATAGAAAAGGTAAAAACGCCGGCAAATCATGCCAAAAAATTTGTGATGTGTACAGTAAGAATGCTGTGAATGAACGAAAAGACCCAGGAGTGGGTTGCTCGAATCCGTTCCAGAAATTTCGATGTCGAGATTGGAAGGGAATTGTCCATTATGAGTTGCTGCAACCTGGTGAAACCATCAATTCGATCCTGTACTGTGCAAAAGTCGACTGTTTGAACGAACCAGTCCAGAAAGGGCGACCACAATAGGCCAACAGAAAGGGAGTTATGGTCCATCGTGACAATGCGCGGCTACGCACATTTTCGATGACTCAGAACAAATTGACGGAACTTGGTTGGGAAGTTTTGATGCACCCATTGTATTGCGGAGACTTTAGACCACCTGAATACCATTTGTTTCGGTCTCTGCAAATCTCTCTTGATGGTGAAAAACTGGCCAACCAAAGCACCGCCGAAAATCACTTGGCCAAGTTTTTCGACAATAAACCACAGCAGTTCTACACCGATGGAATTATAAAGCTACCCAAAAAATGGCCAAAGGTCATAGAAAATAATGGTAAGTTAAAAACTGGTCTTCAATAAAGAAAATTGTCGTTCAAAAATATACCAGAAAAACGCGGAGACTTTTTATATGACCCAATATATACTGATAGATCACTGATTTGAATCGCTATGCCGTAAATAGAAAGGATCACTTCTACTAGAGAAATTCTATAAAATATTCTGCAAAATAACCTATTATGCTAGCTTTACAGAACTCATTATAGAATATTATATTTTTCTTATAGCGGAATAGTTTTCAAAAGTCACCATGTAGATAAACATAACGTAAATTTCAAACCAAATATATATATAAGAAAAAGACTGTTTCCTGCTTAGAGTAATTGCAATATATTTTACATTTATTATAATATTTCTGTATTCAGCAACATATGTGTTCTTAATTTCTAGATCCCATCGTTCGGGAATGGTTCTTGATAAAGAGCAACTTCTGGCCCATTTTCCTATGTTCCATGTACCTGCTTACTATCAAAGTGATTGGTCCATCTTTTATGAGAGACCGAAAGCCATTTGAACTCAGGAAGACCATGATGGTTTATAATCTTTTTCTCGTCGCCGCTTACGCTACCTGTGTGTCCATAGTGAGTATCACAAATTTTGTCATAACTTTGTAAATCCATGCAAGCTTAGAAGTCATCTAATATTTGCAGTTCTTCACATTTTGAAATTCAGTTATCATATACGTATTAATGTTATTATACATTTGTAGTGTCTAAAACGTGCTTTGCTATAAATGCATAAAGGTGTCCTTATTATAGACATAACAATACCGTTGCCTTTAATGCAAGAAATAAATGACAAGAACTGTAGGTTTTGCTTTTTAATTCCCCGAATAAAAATATTTACATTTTACAAAGCAAATTTGGTACTATTCAGTTTTGAAGACTATAAAAAATCGCCAAACTATTGATGATGCCAGTACTTCCAAAACCAATTGCGGCAATCCTAACCCAAGAAAGGAAGTATAATAGTAAATAACTATCTAAGATTGATGTTTTAATTTGGACGAAAGGTTATTTTAATATAATACATTTTTATTATTATAATTTATATGAAAAAGGCTAACTATAACTGAATGGGAGCATAAGAGTAAATAACTATTTCAGATCATTATTATAATTTATATAAAAAAAGGCTAAACATAATTGAATGGATGTTTGCATCGCTATTTCGCTACCGAGTTGCTAAAGCATTATTTCATCTCGTTGGTTCAAACATAATTTTTTATAATGAATGATGCCTTTTCTTTGAAAAATTCTATTGCAGACTTTTCGTCATGGGCAAATCCCAAATTGTTAAATCCATAGGATATCAAAAAGGGATATGGTACTATTCCATTTTGAGGGCCGTAAAAAAACTGCAGCGAAAATGTATGCGCAAAAGCGACTAATCTAGCAAACGCGCAGATTTAACAGCGTGCCAAATCTAGCGTACGCGCTGATTTCAGATTGCGTAAGTTTATATAGTTCTATATTTCTTAAGACGCCATTGAAATACTAGTTTAATTTTTAAATCCTTTTTTGATATCTTATGGATTTAACAATTTGGGAGTTGCCCATGACGAAAAGTCTGCGGTAGAATTTTGCGTGCAGAATCACCCACTGCTTGACGCGATTTTAAGAATTGCACATACTCGGTATCCATGTACACATTGACTTATTTTAACTTTAAAAAAATCTCAGAATTGCACAAAAATGGCATTGCGCACACCTTTGATTTTATCTATGTACACATCGACCTATTGTCACTTAAAAAGTAAAAGATAATTGCGAAAAAGTCAATTGCTTTTACCCTTGTAAAAAGCGGCAAACAAATAAGTGGCCGATTCTGAACTTTACCGAGAATGTTTTCAAAGAAAAGGCATCATTCATTATAAAAAATTATGTTTGAACAACCTACGAGATGACGTTATGCTTGGTTACAGCCGAAAACATCGCGGCAAAAACATCGCAGACGAAAACGTTGCGGAGAAAACAACGCAAGGCGAAAACGTCGTGCTACAAAACATCGTGGGAGAAAACATCGCAAAGAGTAAACATCGCAGTTCTAAAACATCGTGGTACAAAACATCGTCGTCGAAAATAAAGCGGTTCGAAAACTTCGCAGTTTAAAAACATCGTCGTCGAAAATATCGTGGTAAAAAATAAAGTATCTACAAATCATCGCATGACGATAACATCGCAGACATGCTTTTTTCAGGCTTTAATAACTATAAATGCATATTCCCGTAATGATTTGTGAGCGCAAGATGGAAAGAAGGATAATTTTTACTTTCATATTTTTTATTAATCAATAAATTTTTGCTGAGAAAATATAAAGGAAACTTAAGCATAGAAAATTAATGCAACTTATAGCACTTAATAGAATTTTAAACCGACATACTAGTTAACTAACAGAGGTCATTAATAAATCATTTTTTATAAAGTTTTTACTGGTAATTTTTCATGAAAAGTATAATCTATAAGTTGCATTTAATTTTCTATGCTTAAGTTTCCTTTATATTTTCTCAGCAAAAATTTATTGATTAATAAAAAAATGTGAAAGTAAAAATTATCCTTCTTTCCATCTTGCGCTCACAAATCATTACGGGAATATCCATTTACAATTATGAAAACCTGAAAAAAGCATGTCTGCGATGTTATCGTCATGCGATGATTTGTAGATACTTTATTTTTTACCACGATATTTTTGACGACGATGTTTTTAAACTGCGAAGTTTTTGAACCGCTTTATTTTCGACGACGATGTTTTGTGCCACGATGTTTTAGAACTGCGATGTTTTCTCCCACGATGTTTTGTAGCACGACGTTTTCGCCTTGCGTTGTTTTCTCCGCGACGTTTTCGTCCGCGATGTTTTCGCCGCGATGTTATCGGCGGACACCTTATGCTTTAACGATAACTCGGTAGCGAAATAGCGATGCCTTCATCCATTCAGTTATGTTTAGCAATTTTTATATACTAAATTATAATAATGATCTGAAATAGTTATTTACTCTTATGCTTCCATTCAGTTATGTTTAGCCATTCATATATAAATTATAATAATAATAAAGTATTATATGAAATTAACCTTTCATCTAAATTAAAACATCGATCGTAGATAGTTATTGCCTTTTCATGTATTACCATAAATACGATTTAGTTTCCCTTCAGATAGCCATCCACGAACATATCCCTTTCCCTAAACAAATAGCCCTCACGTGCTTTGTGTCATTTTCTTAAAACTTTCATTAATATCAATAGAACAAATGGTTTAAGAGTTCTGTGGAAGAAGAATTCATTTTGCGTGTTTAAGAATCCTTTGATAAAGAAATGAATATGAATTTTTCACCTTAATCTTTCCTCTTGCGCTTTATTTTGATTACCGTATATACCCGCGCATAAGTCGAGAAATTTTGGACAAAAAAAAAGACTTCAAAGTGGGGGGGTCGACTTATACGCGGGGCCGTAAAAAATTAAAAGAATCGGAAGTTCAAAAATTTCTTTATATAATGCATTGTTTTTTTTTTCTTCCCGCACTCAAATTGGACGACTTATCAAATAAGTCACTTACTTGAAGTAATTTCATGACTTAAATTATGTGACGAACTAATTACAGAGTTTCATACTTTAACTAGAGTAATTTTCGATTAAATCAAAGAATTTTCGGCCCCGAACAACCGATCAATATCGAGCAATAAAAAAGTTTCGCCAACACGCCAAGGAAAGAGAAATGAAGATAGTTTTTACGTACGTATAAGTCTTTATAATAGTTATTGTTTTATTGTTCATTCATGAAATACTTTTTTAACAGGCGTACACGTCAAAATTCAAAAAAAATAGCCCACGCAATAACTGAACAGTTTTGAATATTTCTTTTAACTTTTAAAAAGGGAAAACGCAGATAGATTTTACGTACGCGAATCTTTTCCGGAACAAATTCTAGAAGGTTACTATATACGATCATTTTCGAATCTGACCATGAATCGGACGTTGAATTACTTTGATTTTGTTTATTTACCAAGGTATTTTTATCGTATATTTACTTTTTTTTTCTCAGATGATTTTGAATAAATGTAGTACTTGAAAAATTTTTTTCGAAGTTTCTCGATCGATTTCGGAAGTGGGGGGGTCGACTTATAGGCGGGTTTCTTATTTTCTACGAATTGTTTATGTCGAAGTGGGGGGGGTCGACTTATACGCGGGTATATACGGTACTTTTACTAGTAGAAGCCATGTTTACACATTAGATGACGCTCTAAAATTATTTCTGATGTAAAATACTCCTTATTTTGTACTTAAAAAGATTCCCTTCTTTAGAAAAGTTGGTCAAAAATATTTCTCCTATTGAATCACTCCGTTTTTAATTTATATTCCATGTACCAAAAATAAGCAAATTTTATCATTAAAAACTTCTTTGCAGCTAATTTTACATTCATTTAATAAAGGAAATAGCTGCGATATAGTCTATAAACGCTGTAAGGAAGAGAAATTATGCTATCTTGTTGTCGTGCAACTCAATTTGACGAGGAGAAAGTATAACCTTGAAGCATTTTGCACGTCTAGACGCAATTATAGATTGCCTTCAAACTTAAACTTTATTTACCGGAAATATCACCTTGAAGTAATTGACACCTTTGAAGGTGAACAATTGCGAAATTCGTACTTATATTAAATATGTACATTTTTTATGGAAATTATATTTTTACGCAGCATAAAAAACACACAGTCAAACAAAAATCTGATGTGTACACCACACGGATTCCCTGTACGCCTGCTAAATTGTAAACATTTTTGCTGTACGTTATTTAAACCTATTTAATTTAAGAAAGATACGATACTCCAGTTCTTAAAATCCTTACAATGCCTGTGATCATCTTGATAATTAAAAAGCCTTTCCTTTTTAGAACAACAATAAACTATTTCATATTTTGTAAATCTTTAAGGAATTTTTGATTAACAATTTCAAAGATACGACGCGAAGAGTGGCAAAACTATGCGGAATAATTTTTATCTCCAGTGCGGGAGAGTATCTATCGGAAATTCAAAAGATTTGCTGTTTTCAAATATTTTGTGATTTTATCTTTGAATTTAATTTTATACCGCGGAAGGGCGGAGAACTTGATATTTAATAAATACAGTTAGCGCATAAAACGTTAATAAAAAAATCTGATGTGTACACCACAGGAATTCCTTGTACGAAATATTAAATTATACGCATTTTTTCTTGCATTTCGTTTAAACTTATTGGATTGAATTAAGCCTACTTCGCCGGCAGCGCATAAACCACAATAGAATAAATGCATTTTTTCAAATTCACTCTACTTGTTTACCATAGCGACACTCTGACGCTAGGTTCACTTAACACTATTATATTTTGTCCATAATTTAACTCAGAATGCACAAAATTTATAACATTTAAAGAATTATCTAGTCGTTGCCACATGTTCTATTCAAATACTATAATAAAGCTAGAACGATGTATAAAAGAAATTCAGCAAACAAAACAAAAAAGAAACAGTTTCTCACAGACGATTCAGTATTTCTCATTCAGTTAATTCAGTTCTCACTTCGCGAGAAGGCAAAAATACATAAAAACTCAAAATATCTGTATTAAAAATTGCGAAGTAAATCTTAAAAACTTATTTCCTCGAAAAATTCCAGAAAGGATTAAGCATGATTTAATTCGCAATAATAAATGAAGGCGGTATCTTTGTTGTTGCGAAACTATGTTTCTCTAGATTGGCAACAAATCCACTATTCTTTTGTTTCAAATGTAAACAAGCAATGGCAGCCATCAAAAACATTATTAAGCTTAGCGACACTTAAAAACTTTTAAATTGTTGATACTTTTAGATATATTGCATACACCTTTACTAAAGGCATAAAAACCTTAAACGAAAGATAAGAACAACATAATTCAATCATTTTTAAAGCAGAAAAATGTACAATTTACAAACATATAAGAGTAAAGAAACTGAGATCACTGAGCCGGGTAGCAGAGTGGATATATATATATAAATATATTTATATAGGTTTGGTGCGACCGATTGCAACCAAAATACGAGGTGCACATCTTCATGTTATAGTAGTCCTATATACAGAATTTCAACGTTCTGAGGCGACTCGTTTTTGAGTTATGCGAGATACGTGCGTATATACGTTCGTACAGACGCCGCGAAAAATTCTCTTGAGAATTCATTTTAAAGCAGTTTTATAACTTTTTTGGGGAAAAGCGTCTTTTATTCTGTCCTTACGTACAGATATCACGCAAATACATCGTTAAATTGCACTCGAAAGCGGTCAAAATGTATATTTTTGTTGAAATATGCTGTCTGAAACTTTTCGCAATTACAATACTTCCTTTTTACTTCGCACAAGGAAGTAAAAAGAATTTTTGTTAGCTATTTTACTAAGCAAAATGATTATTTATGTTATGAGCTGACAAAAGACAAAAAATATATAAATGTTCGCCAACGCATCGGGAATTCTAAATATATGTTTCTATGCTGCTTTTTTAATTTTTTAGTTTTGTTGCTGAACTGTATGTGGCGTAAATTCGAAAATAATTACGCTTAATAATTTGCTGAACGAGCAAAGAGGAATGGATTAGCAGGAATGAGAGCAATAGCAAACTGCTAAACTGCAAGCTCAGCTTAACGAATCCTTCTAGGCGATTGTTAAAATCTGAACTCTTTCAGATTATTCTTTTTATCTACCTTGTAATTTTTCTGATTGAAAATTTCTTTTTAGGTCATTTATCTTATGAAAAATACCGATCATATGGTGCTTTGTAAAAACACCGTTGTTACAAGAGAGAATTCTACATACACGGTAAGGAATTTGAAATTGAGTTTTATTTTAATTTTTGTTGCTGTTAAAAGTTATTTGTATTGTATAACTTTTAACAAATATATTTATTCGTTTTTGGAGACACATTTTTAAACTAGAAAGATATTTTTTATTGTAAATCTAAAGAATTTATGCTAATGAATTTGTATTTTAGTTACTCAAGTCATGTTCCACGAACATAGATAGGAATAAAATAACACAGTGTTACAAATTTGCATATATGTAAATAATTTTAGTGAAATTATGTGCGAAGTTTTTGTCTCTCTTGTAAAATGGAACATTAAAGACTTCAAGAGCGTTGAAAAGAAAAATAAGATTACAGGGAAAAGTGAATTTAGAATTGAGGTAAATGGCTTCACGATATATCTCCAAGCTGGCGATGATTTTGACAGCTGATTTTTATCCTCAAATTTGATTACCGTTTGGAGATATTTTGTCTTGATTCCTACATAACTGTAATTGGTTTGATCCGTTTATTTGACTACTAGTAGCTTCGCTGCCAGCCTTCGTCTGGCCTTTAAATGTACCGGAAAAATGGCTGAAGAGAGCAAAACGTTAAAATTTAAAAACTGCGAATTTTACCTGCAGAACAACTTCATAAAAAAGTTATTACGTATAACAAATTACAATAAAATACGCAATATCCCTTAATACAAACGTAACTAATACAAGTTAAACACTTCCTTGCAAAAAAGAACAAATGGTATAAAGAGGTTAAGGAATGTTTCCTAAAAAAAAATCATCAAACTTTTAATTAAAACAGAGAACTGAGCCAATTGAACATAAAAAATTTTACAAAACTGAAAACAAATAACAATGTATATTTTGATATTTCAAAGAAGAAACATGAAATAAGCTATATCCCTTCATACCTTAAATTATCTTCTAAAAAATTAAAACCAACTTCCGTTGACCGGAAAAAACCCACTTTGAATATCCAAACAGGGAAATAAGGAAAACATAACATGAAGAAACTCCAAAAAAATAAGGTAGGCAGAACAATTTTAAACAAAAAAAACGACAAAAAAAAAATCAAAAAAAGTATTATATATATATATATTACAAATGACCATGCCAATCTTAAAAACAGTACATAAGAAATACGAGAAAAATTGTGCCAAGCCCGATTTTCTAAAAGAATGAAAAAATCCAAATCATTTCCAAAATCTTTCAAACACTAAATAAATGTAAAATCCAAAATCAAAGAAAAATAAACTGTACATTTTAAAATTAAACTTTTTTTCGAAAAAATCCCGTTGAAAGGTGTGAAGCCCCCCCTTTGTTAAATAAATTCGTATTTAATCGATTTATTGAAACACGAATTTTTTTTTAAGTTCGTAAAATAGCTAAGTGCCTAAGTTTCATGACGATGTGAAAGTGGAGTGTGTAGAGTAAAATCTCGCTTTCCTATAGCCTATTATGTCTCAAAATGACGCGATTTGGTCACAAAACATAAAATAAAAACAATTATAATTCGAATTTCGAAAAAATCGCTTCGAGGTGCACTGACTCTTGTCTAGATGTACCTATGTACCAAATTTCTTAGCCGTAGGTCTATTAGCTTACACGCAGCGCGAACGAAACACACACACACAGAGACAGACTCTTTGTTTTATTATATGTAGAGATATACGGCCCGATATATAACAGCAACTGTATATGCCTTCCAGGAATTTCAAGAAGTCGAAGGTACTGGAAATTTCTCGGCGGCGGAGGAAAAACTGCATAAGGTTTAAAAAATCATTAGGTTTTTTAGTCCAAAGGGATTTGAATCCCGAAGGACTATTAGTTTCGTTTTGGTATTTTGCGTCGGACTCATAAATGTCGGTTCACTTTTCAAACTGTTGCCACAAAATGTTAGAGTCCTGCATTATATTTGAAGAAATTAAATAATGAAAAATCAAAAATCTGCATAAATGTATGTATATTTTCTCGTATTGTGATAAAACAACGGTACATAGAGTCATCGAATTTTGAATAACGTAATCCTCCCAACGAATATGAGCATGTGGAAGACCAAATTTGAAATTTGAAATTTGTTTTATGATCGATTTCCTATTTTTTAAAACTTTGGACGAATTTTTGATTAACAAACTCAAGGATTTCAAAGCGAGCAATGGCAACGTTGTGCAGAAAAAACATTTTTATATCTCCAGCGCGTGAGTCTCTGTATCGGAAATTCTAAAGATATGCTCGTTTTAAAACTATTTTTGCGATATTGCTGTTGCAACTGGATCTTATGGGTTTAAGTGCGAGGAACATGATATTTAATAAAGAAAGGTAACACACAAAATGTTTAAAAAAACGCCCCTTTGGACGTAATTTTAAAATCTGAAACATTTCAGTTTTTTTTTTTTTTTTTTTTTTTTATTTTTTTTTTTTTTTTTTTTTTTTTTAAGCAAGAGATGGGAAAATGTGCAATATCTTTCCCGGGACTGGAACCTTGGACCTCTCCAATATGAGTATAACTCACATTACGAAGGCATGCAGAAAAGAGGAAGAAAATGCCTTGAAGACTAGAGAGAGGGCATCAGTTCTCAGTTCAGCTGAGATCTGAGTTCAGAGTTTAGCTCAGAGTATTGACATATGAGTCTTCAAGCTTACGCATTGAGGCTTTGTATACTATCTTGTGCTTAACGTTCTTAATAGTTTGAAGTGGTAACTACTGTTTGTGCTTTGTCATGCTGAGGAGAACTGTACGAGTACTTTTGTGAGAAGTTCCAAAACTAAAAAGTGTTTGTTTGAGGGAAAATACATTTTACCAAGCTGTCATCGGTCCTGTGTACATTCAATCCATTACAAATCTGTGCTAATGTAACAGCTGCAATAAAAGCATAGCAGTTTCTTTTTCGTATGAAAAATTCCAGTGATATCAGTAATATTCACAGACTCACTAAGTTATGAGGATTATATGTTTAAGTTTCAAATCACATAGAAATTTAGCTTGTTTGGAAGCAGACACAAGTTTTTCATAAATCTTTTAATTATCTTTGAATTCACTTACAGTTTTAGAGTTATATAATACAATTTTGTTAGGGTTTTCTGGAATACTAATTGCTACATAATCAAAAAGCGAAGACATATCGATTTTACCTCTGGAACCAATATGAAAGATCTACCTATATGTGGTATGCCATTTAAAGTCGATATCTTCGCGATTTGAATATTTGATGAGTATGATGGGATAGATGGTGTGTGTACGCTTCCATTAAGAAGAAAGATGCCGCTGAAAAGTATAGATGACGCAAAGACATACCATCTCCATTGTCATATTTCATTTGATAAAACTTCATCTGTAAATATCATTAAAATACATAAGTTTACCTCTCAAATAGTTCAATTAAGTAATTTAGTAACGTAGATTCATGTCGGCTGTCTACTACTTGCCTAGAAATTGAGCAACATACAAATATTTTTTAGAAGCCTTTGATAAGTAGAATTAATACCATGATTTTTACTTCCAAAATACGCCTCATCAATATGGAATAATGAGCCCAAAGCTATCAAAAATATAAACTGAAGGTAGTTCATACCAGGTGCTCTAACAAGCAGTAGCGTGAAATAGCACTGAGAAGATTCGCCTGAAACTCTTTAACTCTGCGTTTACTGAATCAAAAGCTTTCTCTGGGGGGGGGACACACATATCCACCGCATTTATTACATCGCATCGGCCAAACGGTACAGTGGTTAGCATCGCTGACTGCCGTGCTGAAGGGTTGGCGAGTCCAACGTCCTCTAGATAGGCTGGTGGTAGGCGAAGAGGGGTGAGAAACCCTTGGACCTGTCCTCCTGGGGCGCTCTCTATCAAAATTGAGGTCGGAACTGAGCCATGCCGCACTGTCACCTGGAAGGTGCTCAAGGCTGTTGCCAATGACAGGCATAATCTTGCGCTCCTTGCCACGAGGAATCTCGTAGGCTTGGGCTGACTATAGGTCAGACAAGTGAGCATCAGTCAACAACAACAACATCACATAAGGCTCAAAGAAATTTAGTTTACTACGGAGATTTAAAATCTGTTACATATTTAGGAACAGGAAACTGCAGCCTCTATCGAATTGGTTTTTTTTTTTTTTTTTTACTCTTTGGTGAATGAATTCACTAAATGAATCAATACATAATTTTTTTTTGTCTACAGCCCATTTTAAAAAACTTAAATGAGTGCCAATAGATAGTGCTCTTACTTCTGTAAAATAATAAACAAGAGGGGAAATTCTAGAAATTTCAAAATTTTGCTTCCTGTTTATAGAGACATAATAACTGACCGATGCAGTTTTTTTGGATTTGTCAGGAAGACTAGTATCTATGCAGCATTTGTTAGCTAAATTTTTATAATTACTTATTTTAGCCTCTATTTTTCATAAACTGGCATTATTTAAGATTACATTTACGCTATTAAAAAAGTAATAAAGCAAAATAGCTTAAGTTGTAACCTAATTCTTTACAAGTGACAAAAAATCTCATGAGCGGATAAAGTCGGCCATGCCGCTCAGAGGGTTAAATTACATTTGGATACATGTTTTTTTCCAAATGGCAGGTACTATACACCATAGGCGTTGGCCAGTACTGAGGCCGAAGGCTGTGTGATCACTTCTAACAGATGAGCCACTGTTGCCTCTTGTGAAGGGACAAACAATTGACATCCATACCTTCTCCGGAATTCAAACCCGGGCATTTCGGTACAGCAGTCAGTGTCACTAACCACTTTCCCGTCGGGATGGCTCAACTGGATAGAATTGTTATATAGTTAATATATAAGTCATAGATATTAAAAACACATTTTGTTACTTATTTTTAAATTCAGGAGAGCAAAAAAGGCATAACAGTACATTTATCTCAATTACAAATAAATATTATAATTTCATTGCACAGTAATAACAGTAAGCAATAGAAAATATTGCGAATTCCTATTTCATTCTCTTCGTTAAAAATTCATCAAGCTACCTGAAAATGCGAAGTCCTTTTTTATCGTCTGCGTTTTTTGATTCATGTAAAAATTCGTTAACACTGAAAAGCAGTTTGGGCTTTTACTGAGTATAATTTGTACTTACTCATTTAAATTTTTCAGGCTACTAATTTATTTATTTCCTTCCTAGATGGCAACATGCGGATGGGTGATATATCTTTTGAAGTACATAGAATTTCTGGACACGGTAAGAAAATTTTGAAATTATATGTGCATCCTGTATGAGTGATACAGCTAGCAATATATGATTTTCTATAGTTGTTTTTTGTTTATAGTTGCAAAGATTATTTAGTATATAAAAATATCTCATTTTCTTATGAATAAGAAAGCAATAAATGATATATAAATTATTATTAAAAATGAGATATTTATTTTCGTCAGGAGATTTTTGTCAATGAGTTTCTGTTACCTCCCAGTATCTAAATTTTGAGGTGATGTTCCTAAGAATACCAAAAAATCTTGTAAAACATCTTGGATGGCTTTCAAAAAGGCTAGGGCTCGTCTTCGTGGGAATAGCTGAATGGATCTTCTTCACTAAGATCCATTGAGCTATTCTCACGATACTATGCCCTCATCACTATGATCCGTTGTTCTTAGTGACTCATTCTTGCCTAGTTTAAAATTTTGGTTTAGAGCTGAAAAACTGAAGAAAAAAAGGTGCGCCATTTTACGTTAAGCGAAAACATATGTTAATTTGGTTTTTCAACTGAATACAAATGGACACAATCTGAATTGACACTGAGATTAAACAGAGCATACGAAACCTAGTTTTTCAACGCATATACCAAAATGCCCGTGTGAGATTCTTCATCCATCTTTCACCCACATTTCAACTGGTTTAGTCAATGGAGAAACTATTTCATGTGACTTCCTACATATTAAAATCATTTTCCTTTGAAATGCTTTTTCTAAGAAGTGCTTTGAAAGCGTGCATGTTGATTGCTCAGTATTATTTGAAACCGTGGCATGAACAAGTCCTGCCATCGTTACAAGAAGGGAAGAACTGCTTAGATTCGCATTTATACATGGGATGGGACTCACTGTATCTCTGGTAAAGACATTTCCAATCGCAGAATTCCTTGAAGACATAATTATCAGTAGCAAATCTCATGATTTCCTCGATCCGCAAGCATTATTGTGCTTGAAACCGTATGGTTTCTGGTTAAGCCTTTTTAAATTTCAAGAATTTAAAATTCTACTTGTTGTCACCTGAACTCCATTCGTCTGACTACGATGGACAGAAATGAAGAACTGTAGTGACTTCAGTGAAAAACCGTGAAGGGCAAATTGATTACTCTAACCGAAAACGTTTGTTACGACACATGTATTAGGATTAGGTCATTGAGTTAAATTTGATGTAAATAAGTTCTTGATGGAAAAGGTAATACTAAACTAATTCATAAAGTATTTAGATCATGAAATAGCCAAGCAACTTCACCAGAGGTAAGGATCTGGGGAAAAAATTAGCACCACAGTTTTATTATTGTGATAGAATGTTGCTTCAAAGTGTGACGAGATTCACTCCGATCCAGAGATGGATTTCAGATGCTAAAGCAGAAGTGTGGGATGCTTTTATCTTTCAGTGCTTTATTAGAGCTAATAGGCTCCATCACTGAAGCATCTTGTCAGCTGAGCCGTTGCCGAAATAAACTCATTTCCTCTTTTCATTATGAGTTCCTCTAACGGGGTAAAGGAGGAGAATATAAGAGTGTATCAAAAAGCTCCTCGACTGGCTATATTGACTAAATTACACAACACTTATCTAAGTTTAAACATCATCTTCTTTGCAATAGTCACATTGCGCAACATTGCACCTTTTCTAGTGCTCATGCCTATGAGAATGCAGCCTGGAAGTCATTTTGTATAAGCATTTACATAACCGTTTTGCAGTTTGTCTTGGATATCGTCACCGGTATCGTCACCGGTGTCAACATGTATCATCGGTACGATCAAGCAGATCTTCGCATACTGTAATGTGAGTTTTCCTTCTACTCCTGAACCAGTAGGCAGGGAACAAAATTGGATGCAGCATGCTACATATTCATTTCACGAGGTCCAGATTCTCTGTACGGACATCAAACGAGTTCGTTCGGGCAATCTTGCTATCGATCTTCCTAATATGGTCTGATCGTCATCCGATGCCACACCAGCTATGTCCAAATTGTCGTTTGATGGTCCTTCGATGACCAGCATGCGCAAGTTCCAGAATTTGTTCCATATACTTGCTGCTGATAATCATGAAAGATCTTCTAAATGGCTCCTTGCCTTCAAAAGCCTTTACCACACAAAAACTTGCGTAAAACTTGTTGCCTCACGAATTAGTTTACCTGAAGCATGATTAGTATCTCTGTGGCTGATCTGTGTAGTTTCTAATGCTCATGCCTTTGAGAATGTAGCCCCGAAGTCATTTTGTATAAGCAATTACATAACCGTTTTGCAATCTGTCTTGGATATCGTCACAGGTAATAATTATCAACATGTATCATCGGTACGATCAAGCAGATCTCGCATACTGCAATGGAGTTTTCCTTTCTATCCTGAACCAGTAGGCAGGGGACAAAATTGGATGCAGCATGCTACATATTCATTTCATGAGGTCCAGATTCTCTGTACGGACATCAAACGAGTTCACTCGGGCAATCTTGCTATCGATCTTCCTAATATGGTCTGATCGTCATCCGATGCCACACCAGCTATGTCCAAATTGTCGTTTGATGGTCCTTCGATGACCAGCATGCGCAAGTTCCAGAATTTGTTCCATATGATTGGTGCTGATGGTCATGAAAGGTCTTCTAAATGGCTCCTTGCCTTCAAAAGCCTGTACCACACAAAATTTTGCGTAAAACTCGTTGCCTCATGATCATTAGGTTACCTGAAGTAGGATTAGTATCTCTGTGGCTGATCTGTGTAGTTTAACGCAAACCTTCACATCACCTCATTGTTCCATCCTTCTGACCATGATATAATCGCAAGGTACCACGTATACGTAATAATAAAAACGCTTCGTTATAATAACTTTTGATGTTTACACAGCGGTATATTTTAATACTGACTTATTAAAATTGAAAATCATTCTAACTGCGAGCCTAGCTCTGTATTGCTACTTGTTGTCTCTTTATAAACTTAATTTGGGATTTTTTAATGAAGCCGTTTATATCTCTTGCCTCTAATGTCTCTACATTCAATAGTTATTACCTTTTTCTTATATGAGCATATATATTTCCAAGGCAACTAACACTGATATGCATAAAAATTAAAACTATTAAAAGAGGGCTAAGTAATTTTATCCATTAGCTGGGATACTAATAGCAAAATAATTAATGCCTTGTGGCATTTTAAATTACACAGATTACATTTTCATGAATTTTATTTAGCACGATTCATGAAGAAATCCCAATTAGCTTTCGATATGGATTGTCATTATTTAAGCACAGTACAAACGGCATCATTTTGAAAACTTTTCATTTGGTTTTTAACTCTGAGGAATATTTCATAATTCTCATTCGTACTAGTACTATTAACCATTAAATTTTCAAAATAGTTTTCTCAGTGAAGTAGCATTTCCCGCCTTAAATAGATGGAATACTTCGATAAAATTACTACATAAATTGTTTCACTGTTTGATTCTACAAAATTGGTATTCTTGGTGATTAAACAAATGTTAATTTGACACTGTGCAGAAAAATGCTGTAAAATAATTTAGTTAATTCCAGAGTATATTTTTGAGCAGCATATTTCACTTGCAATAAACAGCCAGAAAATTGAATTGAATAAAATCTCTTTAATATTAGTACATATGGTTAAAAAACACATACATACACAAATATGGATAAAAAGATATAACTTAAATTATAATTTTATTAATAATTATGTATAACTTAAGTTATATCTTTTTATCTATATTTGTACTCTTGAATTACAAATGTATTATTTTCTTTGTGAATTATAATTTACTTCACATATATGCAAATGTAAGTTTATAAAATGAGAAATATAATGAAGTAAAGATTTAATTACGGATTTTAATACTATTTGTTTAAAAGCATAATCATTTATTCTTCGTTCATTGCTTCAATATTATTTTTCCATGCATAATATTTGTACAATTTATTTAGTGGGCAAAAGCAGAACTAGGTGTAAATTGAATAAAAAAACGTTATTAAAAGCTGGACACAGTTTATGACTTCCAATGGCTATCGTCACAAGAGTTAAAGCTGAGATAACCCTTTCAAATTTGTAAGCATATGCCAATACATTTGCTGTATTTATTCTGGGTAGAATTTAATTTATCCACCACTAAATACATAATGTATAACATAATACATAATGTATTTAGTGGTGGATAAATTAAATTCTACCCAGAATAAATTAAACAAGGAAACGTTGCTATACGTTTGGAACGTAATATTTATTCCGGAACAATTTAATTTCAGTACTTTAAAGCTATTATTACTTTCATTTGCGTAATCAAACTTCTTCTTCCAGATATTCTTCGTCCTCAGAAAGAAAGATAACTTGATCACAAACCTTCATGTGATTCATCACTTTACGCTTCCCCTTTGCGGATGGATCTTCTTCAGAACAGAAAGAAGTAACTATCTATTCTTATTTTGAAATTTTTTGTGAATCTAATATTATACTAAAATTTAATATTTCTTTAAAACAGAGATAATGTGAAACAATGCTGCAATATATTTATAATGCTGCATTGTTGTAATAGTCAAGAATAAGTATTGTTGTGATACTGCATACATTCTAATAATATTTATAATATAATATGCGTGGCATCTATACTTGATATATTTTATACGCTTTTAACATTGTTTTTAAAAGAAATATTCACGCACCAAATAAGAGAAAAGTATTCGTGTTTAATATTTTGAAATACCTTAACAAATTTAACCTCGGTTATTGGCAACGAAGATGTTCAAAATATTAAATATATCTTTAAAATAATTATTTTTGCATACCTTCTTTTTTTTCTTTATCTTTTGTGAGTGATTTTCAAATTGATAATATTATATAAATGTGAAATTTATTAATTGTATTAAAACAATATAAAAGCATTACATAAAAACGTAAAAGAATATAAACAGAATGAAACTGATGATTTTTAATGCAAATATACTAACAGTATCTCTGTATTTTATATAACAGTGAACATAATTAGTCAATAGACATGTGTTTGAAGATAATTCAGAACTTAATGTATAAAGGCAAATAAATCCAAAGATAAGTAGTAGTGCTGGACTAACAATTTAGTTTAACCTTTTAACTGTCATGCCCGAGATAATCTCGGGTACAGCACTGGTGTTCGAAAATGTCACGCCCGAGTATTACTTGGGGTAATTTTTTTTTTTTTTGAGTGCATCGTATTGTTATACCCGAATATATATCGGGAGACGTTTATTTCGGCTTCATCTTTTTGTCAAACCCGACTGTATCTCGGGAAAAATTTGACAATTTGTGTACCCAAAGCATCAAAATAACTTGACAGTTAAAGGGTTAAGGCTGACTAAGGTGACTCAGCAACCTACCCGGTGATAGACTTGGCCAAAAGGTGTATTAGCAACTCACCGTAACAGCAGCGAGGACAAACTCACAACGTGCGCTAGAGTAGCGAAATTACTCTTTGAATAATACTCTCTTCACTTAACTTTAATCTGAATCTTGGCGAGGAAATGCGAGGGAAAGTTGAGGAGTTCAGAAAAGATAACAAAAATTAGAATAATCGGTTATTTAAACTAAGGGAAACACTACAGTGTAAAATTTCTCCATATCGAGCTATTAATTATTTTATTCCTTGTTTTGGAGCTGGATATAGTTCTTCATTATGATCAATGTTCTCCAAAATGTTTTAACTCTTTTTCATTTGAGACGAAACTTGCAATTATCAAATACATTTTTGCTGGATCTGGGTTTGAGATGTTGGCTTTAGTAGAGATTTGTTCATACATCTCTCTAAGCTTAACAATTGTCAACTCTTTCCTATGCTTGCTGACGTCATCATAATCAAATTCCGAATCTAAATGCTTGGCCAGATTCATAACTTCTGTTACATGAGTGACTTCATCACTTAATTTTCGGCGTTGTTTCCCTTTCGTTTTTGACAATGAATGGACATATTTATTTCCTAGTCGTCATTCAAGATTTTTTAGGAAATTTCATTCCAATATTCTTCAGCGATTTTTACAGCACATAATACACTGATTTAGTCTTTAACAGGCCCACCAGCGGCTGAGCGGTAAAGTCGCTGAACACTGGTAGTTCGGTCCGATGTTCGAATCCCGCGAACGGGCTGGCTGCATGGGAATTTTCTTGGTTTTCCCCATGTGCAAAGTGTATACGAGCCAGTTTTCCTTAGAATGTCCTCCCCGAAGGCATCCCTCCCTTTAGGCACATAGCCCTCGACGCTTTGCCATAATCACACATACATACGTGTCTTTAACAGATAGCTGTGTCTTTTGCCTCATAAAGTTCAGATGCGCGAATGACCGTCTCATGTCGTAAGCCTTGAATGTTTCGAGGACTTCCTGATTGAAGCAGACTGGTTGTGTTTGAAGGTAAAAGACAAGTTTAATACGAAAGTGAAAGTCGAAACCAGGAAGTGGCAGGAAGGTTACCAAGTGCATTAGATTATTTTAAATGGATTTTCTTTAAATTGGCAATAATATGCATCTTTGGGTATAAAGTAATAACTAAACGAGTCCTCAAAACCATACACTGTCTTACGGAGCTTTAGAATTTTGTTTGAAGGACCTCCTCATCTCTCGTGGCAAATATGACATTGATAAACGCTAGCAAAACAATCTGCGTGAAGTCTGGTGAGAGGTGAGCGACGCAGAACGGGGTATTACTGTATTGCAAAAACATTCATGTAAACGGCTTGACAAAACAGTATTTTAAAGACATTATCTTTTTCTTCCTACCTGTAAATATGTTAAATGCTTCAAAACTGTTGCTAGACAAAGACATTTTTTTTATAGTCTATACACAGTTCTGCAATTCTTTAAAGTGCATTTTAGACTGTCACAAGCACAAAACTGCAGTTGCTTTGTGAAGAGGAGAAAATGACGATGCTTCAGAATGGAACTCCGTCATAAGCGGTCACTAACTTTACGCGAGTTCGAAAAACATGTTCGAAAAAACAGAAACGTTCGTAAAGGAGCTCTCACACTAATGAAGATCAGTTTTTTTTAAGTTGAGAAAAACAGTCTCTTTATAAAACAGCGCGCACTTTCTGCCGAAGAGCTGCTATGCAAATAGGATTTTATCTTACTGTTTTCATCAACAAAGCAAATGCAAATTTCTCTTGTGTTGAGCATCCCTCTGTAAAGGCGCCCCCATCTCTACACAGGCTACTTTTCTTTTAAAGTTGGAAATTAGTTTTCATATGGATAAAATCTGGGTTATCCTTATAAAGGTTTTCTCTTTTTTATGAACAATATCTGACCTACATAAAGGTGTCGGCACCTTTATGACGCAGCAGCGTTGTCGAGGCATCCCGAAAAATGGAGCCAGAAAACCAGTGAACACAAAATTACCTTGCATTTAAGTGCTGTGGTACAACGACGGTTAAGAGAACGGTTAAGTTAAGAGAACGAAGGTTTCCACTGCCATCCATGGCAGTGGAATTATAGAAATCTCGAGAGCTAATCACATGCCCGCATTACAAAGCAGTTCAAATGCCAGAATCTGTCGCACATTAGTTCTTTTACAACAGCAATATGAGATTCAGCTGCCACATAACAGACTGGGGATCGAATCCCAAGATCATTATCACCTTCAAGGGCATGAGAAACTCGTGCGTTGCTGCACTTCTCATTAGTGCTAGTAAGGGGTGATGCCAGCAAGTAACTACTACTTACACTGCGAAAAAAAAAGGGACAGTTCTATATCTCCCGTTCTACTGGGCCGATTGACAAAATTCAAATTGCGTTCTCCATGTCTCGAAAGCGCCACTTAGGATATATATATCAGATTAATATATAACATTGTTCTAACATAGGTATTTTGACACAAAATGTGACTTTTTCTGAAATAACATACCAATTTTTTCCATATTTCGATTCTACGACTCAATTTGAGTCGATTAAATTGTAAAATATGGTGCGAAATTTATGGAGAAATGCAAAAATTTATCTGGGCACAATTTTTTTTCAGTTTGCGCCAAGAATAATTCACTTGGCGAACTTCTTAATATGTGGCAACCAATTTTCCTTTCCCTTCCATTATGCCGGACGGAAAAAAAAGGTACCTCGTTCCTACTTTTTTACATTGTGCATGAGCGGAAAAAAAGTCCCATCGTTTCTACTTCCATATAACTTTAGGAAAAAGTGTCTAAACCACATTTGATGTTTTATCGCTTTCAGCAAATATGCCAAATTTCAAAACCCGCCAATGTATAAATTCACGTATATCTTCGGAAATTTTGAATAAAAAACTGTAATTTTTTGCGGGTATGCAAAGACCTACGTTTACTTTAAGATGATGGTACAAATTTTATAGATTATAATTCAAAAAGTTTTGCAAAAATTTATAAAAATTATTTAAAAATACAAATTTAAAAAGAAAAATCATAAAAAAATGGGTGTATTTTATTTTGAATGAAACTAAATTTCGAAATGTGAAAGGGAGAATCAAATAAGTTTAATAAAAAAGAGAGATTAATAAATATATACCAAACTCAATCAACATTGAGGAGCTAAAATTTTGAAAGTTAATTTTTTTAAAAACTACTCTTGCGATTTTTACAAAACTTGGTAGTTTGGCGTCGTTTGAGTCGTCGAATCAAAATATGGAAAAAAATTGGTATGTTATTTCAGAAGCAGTCCGAGTTTGTGTCAAAATACATATATTAGAACAATGCTATATATAAATCTAATACATATCCTAAGTCGAGCTTTCGAGACATGAAAAACGCAAGTTGAATTTCATCAATCAGCCTAGATATAGAACTGGCTACCTTAATTTTTTTTTTTTTTTTTTCGCAGTGTATCAAGAAGTAGGACAAAGCGAACATACCACCGCGTGATCGCTACACGATTCTATTATGTGTAGAAAGAATTCTGTGCATGTAAGGTAAGAATATTTTTAGGGACAAATGAATTAATTATCATCGCTCTTTTTCAGGTGGTTTCCAGGCTTATCCAATCATTATCAATTCCATTGTCCACATTGTGATGTACAGTTATTACGGACTTGCTGCCATGGGACCCAGCGTCAGAAAGTACTTGTGGTGGAAACGATACCTCACCATTGCTCAAATGGTAAGAAATTTCGGTGCAATTTTACTTTAATAGGGAAGATAACCAAATTAATGTAGCAAGCATTTACACTGATTTTCAACTAATTAGCAGTTCATCAGTACTTAGCATCTATAAACATATATTCTCGAAACCCATTCATTAGCTTTTCAGTGAAGTGACGGGTTTTAAAATCTAACTCTATATACATATAATATAAAAATTTAATGTGTACACCACATGACTCCCTTGTACGGAATATTAAATTACACGCATTTTTCTTGCATTTCATTTAAACTTATTGGATTGAATTCAATCTACTTCGTCGAGAGAGCATAAACCACAATAGAATAAATGCACTCTTTAAAATTCGCTATATTTGTTTACCATAGCGAAACTCTGGCGCTACATTCACATAACAGTATTATATTTCGCTCATATTATAACTCAAAATGCACAAAATTTATATCATCTTAAGAATTATCTAATCGCTGCCACATGTTCTATTCAAATACTATAATAAATCTAAAACGATGTATAAAAGAAATTAAGCGAACAAAACAAAAATGAAATAGTTTTTCACAGACGATTTCGTATTTCTCATTCAATTAATTCAGTTCTCACTTCGGGACAAGGAAAAGTACATAAAAACACAAAATATCCATTTTAAAAATTTTGAAGTAAATCTTAAACGCTTTTTTCCTCGAAAAATTCCAGAAAGGATTAAGCGTGATTTAATTCGCAATAATAAATAAAGGCGTTATCTTTGTTATTACGAAGCTTAGTCTATCTAGATTGGCAACAAATTTACTATTCTGCTGTTTCAAATGTAAACAAATATGTCCGCCATGTTATTTAAAAATTAGGCTTAACCGCACTTAAACAGCTTTTAAATTGTTGATAATTCTACAAATATTGCTTGAAGATTTTCTAAAGGTATAAAAACCTTAACCTTAGTAGTCCTATATACAAAATTTCAACATTCTGAGGCTACTCGTTTTTGAGTTATGCAAGATACATACGTAAGTACAGACACCACGAAACATTTTCTTCAGAATTCATTTTAAAGCAGTTTTATGATTATTTTGGAGGAAAAGAGTCTTTTATTCTGTCCTTACGTACGGATGTTACGCAAAAACATCGTTAAATTTGATTCGATAGCGATCAAAATGGATATTTTCATTTAAATATACTGCCTCAATCTTTTCGCGATTACAATACTTCCTTTTTACTTCGTACAAGGAAGTAAATATGAAAGCAAATTATTAATTTTAATTTTGCAATAACCCTTTTATTCCTTATTTTAATTTGGGATTTTTAACTTTCTATTTTTAAATAATAATCACTTTTCTGAACTTCATGATTTATAGATTTACCCATTATATGACTTTTATGTAACGAGGATGACGTAGCAAATTTGAACAGAAACCTTTCTCTTAATAAACTTCCACACTGTATAACTACACATTTGCTATCTGCACTTCGGCTGAAGTAGATTGCTGCTTACACTTTCTACCAGGCGCAGCAGTACAAAAAAGTGAATGTTTTGGAATAGGCGTGATTGTAGTGTCCAGTTATTTGTTGCTTCAAATGTCAGTTGAAATAAAAATGAATATTTAATCTGCTTCGGTTGTTGAGTTTGCTGTTCATTATGGATCAATATCGACGCTATCAGTATTTCTACAACATCATTACATCCATATATATTTCCTTTTCCTGAGTTATACCATCAGAGACTGCGTATGTTATAAAAATATAGCTTGCGGTAAGCGTTAAAAAATAGAAATGGGAATTTGTCTAATATCCTTAGTTAGGTATTTCCCAAAAATAGCATTAGAAATTTTTGTGGCTTTGTTCTAATAAAGCATTGGAATCATCTCCAAGCAAAAGCTCTCCAAGGATACATTTTGGTCCCAACAAAAGGGAATACATGCGGTGTTCTGAGGAAATCAGTTTAAACGACCCTTTATTTAAAATATTTCTTTAGTTTTTATCTCTTTTAAGTGCATGGCTCTATATGAGCACCCTACCCATCTCTTAATGTGTCTCTGTCTCAAACTTCAACCTTCAAATTATAAACAACTTGTTTTCTGACGTCGTATGCACTTTATTGAAAATATACAATTCTTGTCAAAAAATTCTGTTTCATTCGATCCTGATAATTTAGTGTATGCCCGGATTGTCATACATTTCTTTTAGAAGCTTAAAGTTTTGATTAATGCAATCAGAAGAACATAAATTTGACTCTAATTTATCTTTTTGCAGGCAGTATTTTTTTAAAAAGTATTTGAAGTATCTTTTCACTATTCGTAAATTGCTAACATAAGTGTAGATATTTGTGTTTAAGGTTATATTGATTCGTCTTTCATGACTATGTACAACTGTTGTAGTAAATATTTTGATTCCATCGAAATTTATTGCCAATTCCTTGCGTTCTATGTTTTAACAATAACAATGTTTTCTTTATAATTCTGTTGGATAAGTATTATTTGTCCTAATTAAGCACTGAAAAAGTTAACAAAAAGTACCTTCCGATTTAAAATCCGTTACTTCTATAGCAATATATTAAACTCAAACAGGAAACTTTTTCTCGGTTATGATGGCAATTCTGATTAAATGTAATGCGCATCAGTTTAGCAACTAAGAGCTCTTGCATGCGATGAATTTCGCGCTCGGTAAACGATAGATGGCGCCACCACCAGAAAGCTTTATTCATTATAGTATAACGCCGATTATGAATACCCAAACTATTTCTTCCATGGAGGTCTACCTCCATGATTTCTTCGCAGGGAGGAAAAAAAAAATGGGGAAGGTAGTTCTGTGAGTTACTATAGAATTGGTTTCTTTCTTTCTTTTTTAAAATTTCTGTTTTTATGAAAGCGTGTTCACTTAACTATATTAAAAATGCTTCTTGAATGTCCACGAATTATCGTTCTGATTGTAATTATTTTCTAACACTGGTTCCCAGCACTTTTTACCCTATATACCCCTTCCACTATTGCTAGACGATGATCTTATATCCTTCCCAAACTCAAAAAAATCCATCAAGCAAAAGGTAAAAAAAAAAAAAAAAAAAAAAAAAAGCTAATAAATACCAAAACTTGAATAAAAGTAGTTCTTAATATTCATGAACAAGAACTAAATTCATAACAGCTAAATAAAAGGCTGACCACATTCCCCACCCTAAAAATTTGAAATTCCTCCCTGGGGAAGATTCTTCCCTGGTTTAGAACCTCTGTCTTGTACAAATACAGATTTAAAATTCAATAAACTTCATTTGTCCATTTCTTGTGAGCTTTAAAATTAGAATTTACGAACCGAAAAGTCTATTAGTTATTGGCATCACATTTAATACTTCAGGCGACTTGTCTTTGCATTTCGAATTATCAGAATTAAAGCTTCTAAAAGAGATCCTTGGGTTTTATCGCTAATCACTATATAGAAAGCTGGGATGCAAGGGGCAATTTAGAATGTCAACGGGAATTGATATGGCGTCTGACCATGACTAACAGTTTCCCAAATAAATCGGAATTACCTCTAACGAACAGACAGACAGCCAAAGTAGACAGATGGCTTGTTTTGCATCCGCTTAGGTCTTTCTACCCTCAGGGAGAAAAATCAAGCTCAGGTGCGAAGGAAAGGCAAATAAAATAGGAGCAATTTGATTTGAGTGAAAAATAAATTCGTAGCATTTTATATGAATTTTTCCATTAAGGCCAGGTTACAAATATGGGCTTGTATAAGAAAGAGAAGCACGACCATGAATGTATCCTAATGTGCAATGAGGAATACTTTAAATATTAAAGAGGTCCAAGAGACTTATTACTTAAAATTAATGTCCGTAATGTTGTGATGTAAATATGTAGTATGTAAATATGTAATATGTTGAGTGGGGAGTTGGAAACACTAAACTAATGTAAATAAAAAAGAAAATAAGCAACGAGGTCCTTCGTTTCAGTAGCTGAGAGCTTCTGTACCCTTGTTTTTTATCAGAGGAAAAAACGAAGCTAAAAAATATCTGATCAGGAGTGCGGCGCTTTGCAGATTCTCTAAGTATGCTGGAACTAGTTGAAAGCGTCAGCAAAGCCAAAGGAAAAAAAAAAAAAGAAAGGAGGGTTTGACTCCATTTTGATAACAGTTTAAAATCTAGTTGGCAAGCTAATTTTAAGTTAAAACAGGGAAGCAAAAGTATAAAGGGGGAAGCCAAACATGTGTAGAGTTTAGTATGCTTGGCTGTCATCCAAAGAGTCTAAACTCTTAGTAATCTTTAAGGAAAGGTTGTAAGAAACACTTTTTAAAAATTAAATAAGAATAGGAGGCACATTTTGTGCTTACATGTCAGCCAGGGATTTGTGGCTAGATAACTTAATAAGTAAACAATAAGTCAAATAATCTTAAAGCCGAAGGCTACAAATTCTGTTTAACGCAAAGTTGGCTCGAAACTTTACCGGCGTGGAATTCACCTATCCGCAAGTGATACGCAAAGTCGGAGACAAGAACTCTTATCTAAGATAGCAACCTATAATGTAGCCACGAGAGGTAGAAGATGCTCTGAATTGAACTCCGGAAACCTTCCTTTGAATACACGCTAACTAAATTTGCATTACGGCAGACAAACGGGAAGGGAGAAATGACAGTACATATTTAAAGCGTAAAATAAAACTAAACTGAGTGGCGCAACAACCCTAGCGGGCCAAGGCCTGCAGTGCCCTTTTTCTGCTTTCTTGACCTTTGAGACTCGGAGTGCATCAGCATATACCCTGGGCAAATGGTCATATTGTCGCAGGGCACCCGGCGTGCGTAATGGCAAACCGCACATTGAGTTGATCAATGTTAACGAATTTCTCATCCTGCGCATGCTCAGTGGTTTACCGTTGGCGTAGGAGGAAATACTGGCGACTAAGAGGAGTATAAAGCAACCCAACACAAGCCTGCGCGTCATGTATGTCTTATCAACTGTTTACAATTGCAATACTACCGAAATTTGTTTGTGCTTAATGCATCTGCTTCTGTTTCATTTAGTTTTGGTTTATTTTGTTCATAAACCTTATGTTTAATAACGGTTATTTATATAATTTCCTTTCCTTTAATTCAGCAATTTAAACTGGATTTATACTTTAATTTGTTAAGGTATATACGAATGGAACTTATGGTAAATACGCAATTGCTTTTATTCTTCACAAGTATAATCAATAAAGATTCAGCTAATGTATCTTGCAATGTTTCCTTTTTTGCAATCATTCTTAAAACGAAAATTTGCGTAGTAGACAATCGATATTTATACTCTAAAGTAATGAAGCAACTTAGCAAGTTTTAAAACCCCGAACTGTTTACGCCCAGATAACAGAATATCAATCATACGCCGTAATTGTCTACTTTTAAGACTGTGCCAAAGTCGTAATTGTGCCAAATTCTCTTCTGGGCATGCGCAGTATGCGAAATTCGTTTAGCATTGATAAACTGAATGTGCGGTTTGCCATTACGCCTCCGGTGTTTAGTCCCCAAGCGAACTTGGTACTCATTTTATCGACTCACTTAAGGAATGAAATGCTGAGTCAACCTTGCGCAGCCCGGGGATTGAACCCCGGATCTATTGTGCAGCTGCGCGACGCGCTAGCCATTTCGTCACCGGGCGGTCAAAACATAAAATAGCTGGTTAATTAAAATAAAGGAACTTACACATGGAAAACGAAGCAATAAGCAAGGCGTCCCTTTATTCTACAAGGCATGAGTTGCAGTTACCTTTTAGTAGCTATTAAACGCTCTTGCTTTAATGCGCGTGCTTTAATTTTCCTAACCTTCTCCTTTGAGCGGATATGTGTCACTTGAATGAAACGGAAGCTAGAACAATGTTTAATTTTGGTGAATCTGAAAGTAATTATTACAAATTTAATTAACATGTTATTTCCTGATTTTATTTCAGATCCAGTTCATCCTGATTATACTTTTTGTCACCGTGGTAATGCCAATTACAGGCTGTACTGCAGCAAAAACTAGTGTCTACATTAACGTTATTTGCGCTGGTTTATTCTTCGTTCTATTCTACAATTTCTACCAGAATTCCTTCAAGGCAACCTCACCAAAAGTGAACGGAGTTTCTCAAAAAGAAGAGATTGCAGAAAAATGTTCCAGCCACACCAATGGTAATATTGCAAATGGTGTGGGATCGAAAGTGAAATGCAACTAGTATTATTCTACACGCATGGCCACTTTACTCAATGGTGCTCGTGTTTTCTTTTTCTTTTCTTTCTTTTTTACAAAGTGCCTTTGAAACGAAGGTCTCTGAAACTGTTTACCGGTGTCGTCGAAATGGGACTACGCTGCATTTATATATATATATATATATATGTATTTTTTGTGTGTGTATGAAAGAAAAGGTTGCCAAATCAAAAGTTTGGATTCTTTTATAGTAGTACAGCCATAATACGGTAAATGATAAAACTTCAAACTGTAACAGCTTTAAAACTGATCTTAAACATTTCTTTCCAACTTGGCCATCAGAAGAACCAGAGTAAAATGTATTTTGGTCTCATTTCTGACTCTCCCGGTGACACGTTGATTTGAGTGTCCGGATGCTCTTCAGAAACAGTATTTATTAATGAAATAATATTATTTTATAACGATTTGCTACTTAATTTTAATTTTATATGTTTCCTTATTGATTGCAATGTATGTTTATTCTTTCCTTCGTGGTTCTGTCATGTTCAGTTTTAGCATACACACAGCATTTTAAATTTATATTAAATATTTTTGTTTATATAATATAAATAAAAATGTAATATGAACGGAAATAATAATATCAATAAAAATGCAAAGAACCAAATGGTTTAGTAATTGTTTTGCACCTTTTGTATCAAAACTTGTTTTTTACATAAACATAATCTTCCTAGCTTTATTCACGTCTTGCTTGACGTTAAAATAACTTCATCTTTACAGTTTGTTTTTTACCCGGTGTTAGCACTTAACTCTTTCGCATCGAGAAAGGGCAAAATATCAATTCCCCAAACATCGAAAACGCCCGTATCTAAGAATTTCTCCTGGAATGCTTTTACTTCCCCCATGACAAATTCAACTTGTTAATAGCCTTACTTAAGTAAAGCGTTAAATAGCCTTACTTAAGTAAAGCGAGAACTTTTTTCTTCGACGCTTTGACACTGTGTGAAGTTGCCCCTTGGGACGGGATTGCAACTTCGGGCATCAAAAGCTAAACACTGACAGTGAACAAAGGAAAGGAAGGAACAAAGGAAACAAGGAAGCTACTTTTTGGTAGCTTCAAAAGAATGATTGACATGTGATTTAATAACACCTGAAAGCAATGAGTAATGCAGGAACGTGATGGGGGAAAGCACTGGGTAGGAAATTATTCAGGCGTTTCGGGCGTCCAGCCGATGTCTGAATGTTTGGGCGTTTGGGGCGACTTCGATGCGAAAGAGTTAATATTTATTATTTATTACACATATTTACCCGCTGTTCAAGTAATAATGTAATATTTCCTATTTGCTATTAATGTCATGCATGATCTTTATTCAGAAAACATTTTATTATTTTCTATTTTTTACTCATGCTTTCCCTGACAATAATGCCTAGTTTCCTGATGCCATACAATTAGTGAAAACAGCACTACCTCGAAGAAGCTGTCATTTCAAATACATCTACATTATGAAATGTAATACAATTGTATTCTTCAATAATATCTTATCAATAATTTATTTCTGTATTCAGTGTATTATTGACTACTATATAATAATATATAATATTTAATAATATGTGAAATAATTCCTCTAAAGTCTGTTGCTTAAAGTCTAGAATTCTGTAAGTGAACTATTATAATATTTAAAAAGATCTGCACGCTACTTCTAAGAAACAAAAGTAATCTTATGGAATAAAATTTTCCTTCATTACAATATTTGTTTATACACCTGTGCTTTGTAAAAGCTTTTTGCTTTAATATTTTGTGCTCTATGTTGGATGATAGCTGTACAATAGCAAAGATTGGAGACTTTTATGATGTATTTAACTATGTACAACAATATTTTTTTAGTTATGTGTACAAGGCCATTTCTTTATTTATTTTCGCACAAGTTTCCACTGAAGGATGTTAATAATTTTGAATTTTATTGGACTATTATGATTGATATATATAAATATATATATACACATACATATACACACTCTTATTTATCTTCAGTAGTAAATGTTCTGCGTGTTTAAACCCTGGATTGATTATGATTCTTGCCATATGAATGTGATTTTTTTCTACTTTCATAATAAAAGTGATTTCTAAAATGATTTCCTTTGAAGTTGTCTGATTGAATTGCTTTTGTGTGTACGAAACTAATTAAAGTCGTCTTTCTAAACTTTTTTGGGCATTTATATAAGTATTAATGAACAAATATAGCCTGATTTAGAATTAAAAATACTTCTTGGCGATATATTTTACAAACACAGTTTATATGAAATTCGAGATTATTGAGAAATATGAAAATAGAAATTACACTATATATATATATTTATGATAGCTAACAAAATTTCTTAAATGTATGTACACCGAACCTATCCCTCCCGGAAAAAATTGAACACTTCTATGAGATTCTTTCCACTCGGTCAACTGATCAAATTGAAATTGCGCTTTTTTATGTCTCGAAGCGCGAAATAGGATATATATTACATTTATATACTATATAGCTTTGTTTTAACATGCGAATTTTGTTACAAAATCGGATTTATTCTTTCCGAAGTGGCATAATTATTATTTTTCATATTTCCATTCTACGATTCAAATTCCGCCTAAAAACCAAATTTTGTGAAACTTCGTAGAAACTAACCGAGTAACTTCGAGAATATGGTTTGTAATTTCGAGAGTTCACAGGAAGATAATCTGATGATAAACAGTGTCATCTTCTATGGCGAAGTCATGGAAACGTCAAAAAAACTGGCATGAGATTTACAGCATTATGATAATACTGTCTCATTCTAGTATTTGAAAATATCCAGGGTTACTTAGATAGAGCATAGTTATGTATAACGCTCTTGATAGCGTTAGAGAAGTTAAAGCCCCAGATCACGTGTTTGGCTGAAGTGTCCACCCTACATAGTGGAAGCATGCTTATTAAGCAACTCATTTATAATAGCATCTTTAAATAACCGTGGCCGGTAGGTCGCACGTGCAGCAGAAACTGGTGTATAAGTAAACAAATGGAAATTTTCAGTAATTGGCACGTCTTTCTTTATCTGTAGCAAATCTGTTTTCTTTATCTGTAGTCTTTTATATCTCCAAACTTAATCTAACACACTTAGTTTAAATACTGTCTAATTTACACTCTGAGGAGGAAACGAAAAGCGAATCGATAGTAAGGATCTAATTCATAAGTAACTTATTAATTTAAATAATAGTTCTTACATAAGGACTATTAATTACAGTCCTTGATATATGTAGCTCCCCCCACCAGTAACCGAGCAGTTAAGATTCAGCAAATGCGCTGATCGCATGTTTTCACATTTCCCCGCCACGATTTGCCCTTGTGTAATACTCAGGGAGAGCTATAAGGAGTTGAAGGGTCTCTCACAAAGCCGGTCCACCAGCGGGAGAGTGGTAAATTCTCTGAACACTGGTAGTTTGGCTCAGGGTAAAAATTTCGCGATAAGGCTGGCCTCATGGGCATTTTCGTGATTTACCCCATGTGTAATGTGTATAGGAGCCAGTTTCTCATATAACGTCGTCCACGAAGGCATCCTCTTCCTTAGGCAGATAGCCCTCGAAGCTTTGTCCTAATCACATAAATCAAACCAAGCTTTCACAAAACCTTCGTTAATTTCCAGCCCCCTTATCTCTTTTGCTTGCCTAAAATAAATAGATTAGGTTATTTAAGCAGGAGAGATGAAAAATGTGCAATGCCTCCTCGACACGCGCCAAGTTTGCTGCCAACTACGCAACGAAGGCATACTAAGGAGGCAGGAGAAATACATTACAGAATCCCCCTTTTAAAGAGCCACAGGGGATTAGGGGATCCAATCGCAAAATCCTGGTGGTGGAGAATCCATTCACCACCGTTTTTAGTTCGGGCGCCATAGGTTATTTCGAATCAGGAGAGATGAATAATGTGCAATGCCCTCACCGAGACTCAAACCTCAGATATCTCGATACGCGCTGAGTGTGCTGACAACTACACCATAAAGGCATGCACAGAAGGCGGAAGAAATACCTTATAAAATTTATTCTACTTCAATAACAAAGGAGTCTGAAAGATTAATGATTCGAAGCGAAAATACATTTTACATATTGCTGACAGAAGAATTGCTGAACTGCGTTGCGAAGTCTGATAAAAAAGCTTATCGCAGCAAATTAATTAATAAAAAATCTGATGTGTACACCACATGACTTCCTTGGACGGAATATTAAATTATACGCATTTTTTCTTACATTTCATTTAAACTTACTGGATTGAATTAAATCTACTTCGCCGACTGTGCATAAACCACAATAAAATAAATGCATTCTTTAAAATTCACTCTATTTGTTTACTGTAGCGACACTCTGGCGCTAGGTTCACTTAACAGTTATTATATTTCGTTCATATTTTAACTCAGAATGCACAAAGATTATATCATTTAAAGAATTATCTAATCGTTGCCACATGTTCTATTCAAATACTATAATAAAGCTAGAATGATGTATAAAAGAAATTAAGCAAACAAAAGAAAAAATAAACGGTTTTTCACAGACGACTGAGTATTTCTCATTCAATAAATTCAGTTCTCACTTCGCGAGAAGGCAAAAATACATAAAAACTCAAAATATCTATATTAAAAATTTCGAAGTAAATCTTAAACACTTATTTCCTCGAAAAAATTCCAGAAAGGATTAAGTATGATTTAATTCGCAATAATAAATGAAGGCGTTATCTTTGTTGTTACGAAGCTAAGTTCCTTTAAATTGGCAACAAATCCACTACCCTGCTGTTTCAAATGTAAACAAGCAATGGCCGCCATAAAAAAAAATTATTAGGCTTAGCGGCAATTAAACAACTTTAAAATTGTTGATAATTCTAAAAATATTGTATACAGATTTAGTAAAAGCATAAAAACCTAAACCGGAAGATAAGAACAGCATAATTCAATCATTTTTAAAGCAAAAAATGTACAATTTACAAACATATAAGAGTAAAGAAACTGAGATCACTGAGCCGGGTAAGAGAGTGGATATATATATAAATATATTTGTATACGTTTGGTGCGGCCGATTGCAACCAAAGTACGAGGTGCCACATCTACATTATTATAGCAGTCCTATATACAAAATTTCAACGTTCTGAATCTACTCGTTTTTGAGTTATGCGAGATACGTACGTACGTACGTACATACGTTCGTACAGAGGCCACGAAAAATTCTCTTCAGAATTCATTTTAAAGCAGTTTTATAATTTTTTTTGGAGAAAAGAGTATTTTATTCTTTCCTTACGTACAGATGTCACGCAAAAGCATTGTTAGATTGCATTCGATAGCGGTCAAAATGGATATTTTCGTTGAAATATGCTGCCTGAAACTTTTCGCGATTACAATACTTCCTTTTTACTTCGTACAAGGAAGTAAAAATGAAAATATTAAGGAGCTCGATGAAAAATTAAAAGTGATTTTGAATGGTTGTTATCCAGAGACATGGTAGGTGGAAGAATTTATAGATGCTCGTTGCGAGATGAAGATGGAATGAAGCAAACAACTTAATTTCATATCAGAACATGAAATAAAAATGAATGATTTTTGAGATTTAATTTAATTTAACCGGAAAACTGAATAACAAAATTCTAAATAATATTAGCAAATAGTTTATTTTTAAGTCATTATGGAAACAATCGCTATTAGCAGCTTTAAAAAATGAATAAGTTTTCAATATTTTCACAAGAAATTCTTCTTTGAATAAGCTACTCAATTGACGAGTAAGAAGAAAATAACATGAGGCGATTTATCGCATTATTTTGCGTGATTTGCTTAATTTTTTTCATTAATTTCTTTTTTCTTTCTTGCTTTCCCTTTTCGCTTCCTTTGCACGAAGTAAGTATTGTAATCGAGAAAACACGTATCGTATTTCAAAGAAAATATGCATTTCGACCGCTATCGAATGCAGTTTAACGATTTTTTTGAGTGACATCTGTACGTAAAGACAGAATAAAGGACTTTCCCCCCAAAAAATTATAAAACTGATTTAAAT